AAACTCATTAACCTGAATGATAAGCCTCCATATTATGTTAAACACTTGTGCATCGATGAGACGATATTTATTTTATTGTATTGTAAACAAACAAGTAAGAACGTTTTTGCTATTAACTAATTTTGCTACCAAAATTATTTTAACATATATATTAACAATTACAGTTAATCACAGACTATATTCTTACAGTAGTGATGCAACTAGAACTCTGTTTTCACTGTTCGATGCAATCGAGTGAATTTGTGTTACTCGGTACTCGAGTGAAAATAAATTTTACTCGAGTTCACTTGCTCGACTCGAGTTACCGAGGCAACTCGACGCACCGTTCGAATCGAAGAGCACTAGATAGATGTCAGTTCACTAATCCACTAATTTTATCATCTAATCAACTAATTCACATAGTATAAGGCGCCGCGGGTGAAGTCACTGGTTACATCGAAATTCAAACTTGCATCTTGGCATGTTGTAAACAAATGTGAACTTGATTTGATTTATAATTTTATAATATTGTGATTGTGCTATCATTGTTGTTTATTTTTTGTTACTTCGTATAAGTAGTGCAAAACATAAAAGATGATTTAAACATACTTGTTTGTTTAAAGTATCAGTGATAACAATGACGCAACAAAACAAATATAGTCAGTGTGGCATTATTTTAAAAAATGGAAGCGATTTGCAAGATATGCGAAAAGTAGCTTATGCCTTTTGAAATACTACACATATCTGTAGTAAATAAAAAACATGGAGATACTACAAGTAAATAAATAATAAATATTTGTATTTCATTTCATATTGCCACATATTACTTATTTAACAAAGGTACCTATTTAAAAATGCTTTAACTAAAGCAAAGTAATCGCTTTTCTCGACTCGAGTGATAAACTTCAATCGATGTAAAAAGATAACTCAAAAACTCGAGTACAATTAGAGTGACATGATAAAACCCGAGTGACTTGAGTCACAAAATTTTACTCGATTCACATTTTTATCTTACGGTCAATACAGTGTCTGTCTACAATTTAGTGATGAATTCGATCTACTAATTCGAGCAATTTATTGATGTATTATGTAATGTCAATAAGCTGATTAAGTATAATTTGTGATAGTTAAATTATTAGTAACATTAATTTTACGCTACATCATAAAGTTAGAGTGATATTATTTCATGAAGATTGTCTATACGCAAACCAATAATATTACTACCTATTAGGTAAAGTAATAATAATTATAATCTTGGGTGGAAGAACAAATATAAAAATAATTTGTAACAAAGTGACACAGCTTCGTTTTGCCAAATCGAATTTCGTAACTCGAGTATTATTCGATTACGTGAATTTCAACTCAAGTTAACTCGAGTCGAGTTGGCACATCTCTATTAGAATTGTTTTTAATATTACTATATCTGAACCAAAGACATGAACTTAAATATCAAAACAATTTTTTTTTAGATTTCTTGATTTTAGTTATATTTTCATAAAATCATTATGCTATTTACAATAATAAATTGGTATCTTTTTTTTTTTGTATTCCTGATATTATTGAAAAAAATTCCGCTCGCGACTAAATTTGCTCAGGGCAAGCGGAGCAATAAGACCAAGGCGACCCCTGTCACGCTATCCGTAAATGTTTGCAACATCAGGGGACTTTATTCCAACCTAAACGCTGTCTAGTACCATCTGGAGACGGCGGAACCAGTCTTGCTCTTTTTAACCGAGACTCTCGATAGAGATGTCCTCTCCTCTGTGCCCTTTGAACTCTCTGAACACTCCTCTGTGCCCCGGAACCTGTCTTAGGGAACTTCTGTCAGCTATATCTGTTATCTCTGCACAGAGTGGACGACTCACTGGTCATGTAGGCCGGATGTAGTCAGACCTATTGTGATGAAGACTTATACGCCAGAGTTGGCACTGGTTTTAACGCGTCTTTTTCGGTACTCCTACTCCCTAGGCGTAGTCCCAAACTTATGGAAGACAACTTTGGTGCACCTGATCTATAACAAAGCCGCCCACTCAGATCCGTACAACTACATGCCTATCGCTATTACCTCCCTGTTCTCCAAAATAATGGAAACGATTATTAACTGTCAGCTCATGCGGTATCTTGAGGTTTACCTGATTAGTGACCACCAGTACGGTTTCCGTCGGGGTCGCTCAGCTGGTAATATTCTAGGTTACCTAACTCATATATGGACGGATCTCACAACATTTTACGGTAGAAGAAGTTGATGAGTTGCGAGACTTATTTTTTTTTACAAGTTATGTTTTTTACGGCACATGAAATGAAAATAAATGTATATGAAAATAAGAACTATGTTAGTTCAAACTTGCAACGATGTTTTCTCATGCTTACGGACTTGATTTTTTAAAACGAACTTATTGGGAGCTTTTTTAATATCATGGGGTATGTCGTCCAGAATCTGATAGCTGAGAGGGCGAAAGAGTGAGATAAGTAACCAGTACGGTGTAAAGGAGCGAGCAATTTAAGATTTGCCGAAGAACTGAGAGAACCATTCTGTTAATTTTCCAATTATTACAATTTAGCTACAGAGTTATAAAAATAATGCGAATAATGAACTTTGATTACCTAGCGTCAAAAATATGAATAATGAATTATACAATGAACTTGTTGTAAATGTGGGTGTTAAAACAAAATCGATTCATTATGGCTTATCGAGTTTGGAAGACATCCAAAATTCAGACATCTGAGCGATGCTCGATCAGCGGTTACCAAATTTATGGAGGCGATGGCTATTTCAATAATATTTGGAGCTACTCTTTTTGCATGAATGTCATCATCTCAAGAATGTAATCATAATATTTTTGTTTATTTATTAGTTGTCTAAAGCAACGATGCCGCAAAATTTCTTTGTTTCTGCAACATTTCCATTATGAGAGGTTAATATTGTGTCCTTGTTTTTAAAATTTCAATTCTTTCTTTTTTATTTTATTATTTTAAATTCTCGTTAATATAATTTATTATAGGTGTATTCCCCTTGTGTTATATCTTACTTTAATCAAATCTATATTAATGCAATGATAGAGGTTTACAGTTGTACGTTAATCATGGAAAACTGCCAGTTAGATTTAAATTAGGTTTTCTTAACTTTATATCTTAGACTCATGGCACTTATCTAAAAAAATATTGCTATATTTTAATTTAATATAAAGTTATTAAAGTTTTAAGAAACAACGATTTTTATAGAGAGTTTTTCTCACGGTCACTCGTCTGAAAAACCTCCTATAAACTTTCTTTACGTCGCTTGCTCTAGCGTTACTAACCCAGATCATTTAAAAATTTAGCAACAAACGGAGCAACGAATAACATTTTTACAAAGAAATTTTGTAAGCAAAGTATATTTTTGCTTAAGATCTTTTGGATGTTTTTTCTTCGCTCATTCAGAAACCTTATTAATATATCAAGCAACGTGGATGAAGTCGCGGGTATCAGCTAGTCATTCATAACTTGGTCTCATGTTCGAAACATATTGTAGGAAATAGTAAAAGAAATCTGTAGAAATATAATAAAATAAAATAATTATATTAATTAAAACCTTAATATGTGTCAATCTATGGGGAAAACCTATGTTCAGCTGTGGTCTTTTGATAGGTTGGTGGTCTAGTGGTCGTAACAACAACTGTTGATCATGTAGTCTCGGGTTGAAACATAACTTCAGGCATTTTCTTTTAAGAAATTTTCAGGAGCATCTCGGAGTCTCTAAGGCGGTGTTATACCCCTGTTCCTCAGAAAGCATGTAAACCTGAGTTCCTGCGTCTGATCATTCCTTGTTCGGGATTGCTGTCAATCGTAGTATGAGAGTAAGGGAAGAGACAATGCAACTGTGTTTATAATCTTATCCTGTACATGTGTTAACGGTTCGAAAAATTTACATATTATCAATAATCTTAAAAAAACATAGTTGTATTGATTTGTTGGATAATATAAGGAACTCTGGTACGAGGAGAGATTATGAAGTCTGTGAAATTATTCCGGTAAAAACATTTTTTGCTCAAAAGTTTTTCAGTTTTAGAGGTAGTCGATTATAAAACAAAGCAAACAAATTACACCGTATCATTAACCTAACTAAATTTGAATGTAAAAAGAAAATTTCAAATTGGCTGCTTAAACTTGATTACGAAAAAACAGAACAATTACTGCAGATTGCATCTTAACATACCACGTACGAGTTAACCCACACATACACACATACACACACTCACACACACACACACACACACACACACACACACACACACACACACACACACACACACACACACACACACACACACACACACACACACAAACACACAAACAATAAGATTAACTGCTTGCGCGTATGCTCTCTCGCAAACGGAAAAAAGTCTCTGCTATATACGTATAATAAAAAAAAAAGAAACATCTAGTTGATCATTCTAATGGGGAGCCGGGAGATCCATAGCACAGGGTATCCTAGTGTGGACTCCCGTCTCCCACAAATTTATGTACCTCTTTGTTTTTTTTTGTTATAAAAAATATATATGTTTTTAAAAGATAAAATCTGCAATTGTACAATTTGTGGGAGAAAATAATAAAGGTTTATTTTATTTATTTTATTTATTTATTATTTTATGTGGCTAGTCTTTTTTTTATAGGATAAGGGTGACAAACGTGCACACAGTCCACTTGATGGTAAGTGGTTGCTGGGGCCCATAGACATCTACATCTATCCTCTGTTACAAATCAAAATGTAGATGCGTTGTCACCCGTGAGAACTAAGATGGAATGCCTCATTTCCAGTAAAAAGGGCCTCCGGCCACCTGTTGTCACCAAGCGAATCGCAGAGGTAAACCTCTACTTCACGCTGGTTTTCTGTGAGGTCTTGGTACTACCGCGGTTCGAGCCAGCCCATCCTTGCGACAGCAAAAGCTACCGCGTGGCTCTACCACTGTTGTATGGTAGTCTCCGTTGAGACTCGCCATCGTGGTCGCAATTTGGCCCGTTATTAACTTAGTGAGATAGTGATGTTAAAAAAGGCCAAGTGTGTGTTAGAATATAACATAACAAATTCTTTCCAAAATTTAAACGGAACACTATAACTATATGTTTATTAAATAAATTGAAAATATTTAGTGAGCGCCATTAATCAAATATATTTTTCAAATTTTTAATTGCGTTAAATGCATCAATTTAAAGTTTTGTATTGTGAATCTAGGCTTTTTGAAAGTAGTACGGAATGCAATAATTAATTTTAAAAATGCGTTTGCATTTTATAGATAAGTTGTTCACCATTGAGAACAAAGATTGAATTCCTTTTAGCCTGTAATAATTATAATGACTTTCCATATCCAAACACGCTGGGCTGGATCGCAGAATTAGATAAGATCGTTGTATCTACCCCGGCGGACTCCTAGGCACAAAAAGATTCCTAATACTTAATAGAAGACCTCGTATGGTCGTCTCTCTATCTAGTGAGAGTGCATACACTTCGCATACTGGTACGAGGTTGCCACTCGAGTACCTTCCCTAATTTTTTACATATTATTATATGAGGCTTACTCATTGACTACATTACACACCCACAAGTCAGCGAGAAGATAGTTGGCGGCAAATAACAGCACAAATAAATCTGCCTGGCGAGGAACTAAAAAGAAGATTGGATGGATTCCTTGATGGGCTCTTATCGTCGAGAGAAAAGCAGGGAGAAAAAAAGCCGTATAACAGGTTCAGGTAAAGAGATTTTATTGCATTTTTATACTTAATATATAATACTTAATATATAAAATTGGTTTACTTAATACTTAATATATAAAGTTGGTAGAGCAAGTAGATGAGTTTGTATATTTGGCATGTGTGTTTAGCAGGGATGGTAGATATGATAAGGATATAGAACGACGAGTGAATGCAGGAAATAGAGTGAATGGGGCTCTACACTCTATTGTGATAAGTCAGAATGTGTCCAAAAAGGCACGCATGGCAATTTACAATGCTGTGTTAGTACCTACTTTAATGTATGGTAGTGAAAGTTGGGTGTGGCAGAAGAAGCATGAGAGTATAATAAATGCTGTAGAAATGCGGTCATTAAGGAGTATGTTAGGGATGAAGCTGAATGACAGAGTGAGAAATTGTTTAATAAGAGAAGAGTGTGGTTTGCAAGATGATGTTGTGACCAGGATTAAGAAAGGAATGCTTCGGTGGTTTGGCCATGTAGAAAGAATGAATGAGGAAAGAGTGACAAAGCAAATTTATGTTGCAGAGGTGAACGGCATAGTCGGGAAGGGTCGCCCTAGGCGAAAGTTTATCGACCAAATTGGCGATATATTAAAAATGGGCCATATCAAGAGTACCTTTAACCGACGAGCGTGTATGCATAGGTATATGGATGTGGAGGAAGCGAGAGAGGTGTGTCAGGATCGTGCCAAATGGAAGTCCATAATCTCTGCCTACCCCTCTGGGTGACAGGCGTGAGTGTTTATGTATGTATGTATGTATATATAAAATTAACGTTTTATACGTGGTAGAGCCATGCTGCAGCTATATTAGTAGTATAGTTGTAGCACGAATGGGTCAGCTCGACCGGGGAAGGACCACGCTCTCACAGAATACCAGCGTCAAATAGCAGCTCCATGCTGCTTTGTTCCGTATGGTGAAAAGAGGCATTCTATCTTAGTCCTCACGGGTGATAACGCATCTGCATTTTGATTGGCAAACGAGGATAAATGTAGATGTCTATGGGCCACAGTAACCACTTATCATCAGGTGGACTGTGTGCTCGTTTGTCACCCTATCCTATAAAAAAACTTAAGCAAAAAAATTCTTATCAATACTTTTATTATTAAATATAAAACTTACTAAAATACAAGTCTTTTTGTTAGATAGTTAAATTTGGTTCAAGTTATATACATTTCTACTGTTTATCTACTTATACTAACTGATTATCTACTACTGATTACTACAGATTATCCACTTTTTACAATTAGGTAATAACATAAGTTACGTATTGACACAAAGTCTTCTTACTAGAACTTATTCTACCTATATGGCATTCTTCATTGAAACAAACTTAACTATTTACGTCACGCATATATATACCTTCTAGATTGTAACTCTATCTATCTGGAAACCTCGATCATGGGTACTGTTCCGTCGTGGACACAATATATGAAAGTAACATTACTCATTATAAGATCTTAATATAATATCAATTTTTTTAATTAGTTAAATTTTTTGTGCTGGCAACCCTTCTTTACGCGACCAACGACAACAAAAGAAGGCCATCTTAAGATTTTGGAGAATGTAATTTTAACCCGTACAACGCCAGGGCGGGTTTCGTTTTAAGAGCTGAAGACGTATATATATGCATTTCAAAGTAGTTTGGATATCCTTATTTTGATTTCCTGAAAACCAAAAATGAAACTGGAGACACTCAAGAAACGATGCCGAATGTAAGATTTTTTATTTATGCATAATGATTTTGAAAATGCATAAAAATTTAGAGCCGTTAGTTATAAAATGTTCTGCTATGTACAAACGTATTTATTTTGCGTTACTAGAACTACGCCTTGGAATTGCTGCAATTGGTGCGAAAGTACGTCAATTTATATCATTTCTCTATTGGCCAGGAATAAGTACGCCATTTTAAAGTTATGTGTCAAATAACTCCGGTGGAATATTATTATTTGAAGTGTTTCTCCGGATGTAGTTAAATAAATATATAGCTGCTAAGACAACTTTTGTTGTGTAGTTTGGTATAAGTAAAATAGGTTTTCTAAAAAACGCGAAAAATGGCACTTAATGTGCCAAATGCATTCTCAACGACTCGTTGAGCACGACTGAGGCGATAATTAAATATTCTTTCTTTAGAACAATATTCTGGGTTACCCTCAAATTGTTTCATGGATTATTCTTTGAGTGTAAAGGCTTTATCGGATAAAATAAAATAAGGAACTTTAGTTACATAAGATACTTGCAATATCTTCTCTTTAGGCACGTAATTTTTTTTCTTTTCTAGTTTTCTATACAACGTATTATTCTTAAAAATACCATCGTAAAATATTTGCCCTTTGCTACCAACATTCACATACAAACAATTGTACTGACGTGACAAAGTTAATAAAGTGTATAATTGGCTTATTCTGATAAATAAATTTCTCGGCAAAAGAATTGCGAAAATAATTGAAGTATTTAATAATATACAATATTATAAACTATAATAATAAAAAAAACTAAAACTAGAAACTTAATTATCATATAAACGCTATACTTAGCCTTTGAGCGAGAAAAGAACCAGCCCTCTTATCACTAGCAGCTACGACCAGCCGCGGATGGAGTTCCTTTAAGAACCTCACCGCACGTGGACCCCACGGACCGATAGTCTCTACAGCAAATGTCACAAATATGTAGTCATCTCTCAGAGACTCATATTTGCGCCACTTACTCAGTTCAGCTGCCTCTGATGCCGCCCCGGCTCTAAACGAGGTATCCCTGAGATGAGAGGCCGCCAGAGTGTCTACGCAAGTAGCATCTTACATTAGGCTTTACCTCTCTCCCAAGGGACCAATATCATACCGTCGGGTCTCCTGCCAATTGAACTTAGCATCAACTAATCCGAAATGGACTATGCTTGGAAATTGTCATTATAAGTTCCACTTGTAATCGGGGTTTGCAACATAACATGTCTTCCATCCATTGCTCTAATAGCGTGGGTGAAATTCCATATCAATTCAAATTCTTCTGATATAACAAGCCTTCCTTCTTCTGTGTATGGAATCTTTAAAAAACTTCTATTTTTTTATAGAGCACTCAGTATCAGATACTACCTAACTAATATTAAGTATCTACTGTACTTGTCCATGGCGCAGCGGTGCCACTCTCTGTACGTGAGAGTTCAAGCGCCGGTGACATTAAGCCGGAGGTGTAACGCTAGGGTTGATACCGAACCGATATGGAATATTATAGACTTGTGCCGAAGAAGATACACAGTAGGTATATGTAATATAATGTAAGCTTATGTATTTAGGTAGTGAAAGAGACGATCAATTTTAAATCAACTTTTATTAAATATCTTTACAAATGGGAAAATTTAAATTTCCGACAAAACCGTTCCGTTCATATTGAACGACAGTTAAATAATCTTAAATAATTAACAAAAACTAAGTATTTCAGTACGCAATAATCAGTGTTACCTACTACCCTTTAAAAATTACTATCTTTTATATATTTCTGGCTTTTTCGGTGACTTTTAATATTTTTTATTATTATTTCTAACAATTGCAAAATTCGTAGGCGTATGTATATTTAAAAAAAACCATAGGGAAGCATAGATAGATAGATAGATAGATAACAAATTTTTGTACGCCAAAAAATAACATAAATATTAAAAAAAATTAGAAAAATAAATGTGGTATAATGGGTGGTCTTATCGCTAAGAGCGTTCTCTTCCAGACAACCTTTAGATGGACAGAATAACAAGAAAACAATAAGAACGTGTGCGGTTTGGCGACAAAAATAACATTATTTTTATTAAAGCCATAAAATTGAAATATAGAATGGTATATAAGTACATAGATAAGATAAATACATACATAAGTACATATTAATATATATATATATATATATATACATATAACTATGTCGGAGCGTCTATAAAATACACGGTTGGATCGAGGTAGAAGGGAGGGTATATCAAGAAACCCCCTCTTGTGTCTGTAGTATAAAGTTCACTGTAGGTGCGCGGGAGATTCCGCCTAAGTCATTCAACGACTGTTCGTTGTTGTAATGCTTCTAGTGCAGGCAAAGAGGATTGGTGTTGCTGAGAGGCTGCCCTGTGTTACATTGAGATAGTAGTGTTATTGTTGGTTTACATATTTTGGTGTTATCATGTAATTACGTACCTCACGTTACACTGGTGTGTGATTGTGGCGGAGACGTGTTACGGTATGGTCGAGCTGTAATTTCAGTATACTGAATGTATAGTGCGTTACGTTGTCTTATTACTGATAATGATTAAACTGCATAAGCAAGAGAGCAAGTTGAATATCCGCTCTCACACTTTTATTATTTTTAACAGTTAACGCTATCCTGATGTATTTCCAAGATCACAAGTGAAATACTCTGTTGTAAACTCCGACACCAGAAGTGGGATCTCCTGTTGTCATTTCCGATATCAGAAGTGGGATAAAGTCCCTGTTACTGTCCACCTATAACTTTTGAATAGTGTGAGGGTTATTACGTTGGTGAAATACTATGATGCGCCTCGCGTTTTGTTTTTGTGTTGAATTTCTTAAATCAAGTTTGTTGTCGTATTTACCTTTTGAAGCCAAAAGTTAAATTTTTTTGTTCTATTTATAATAAAAAGTACCCGCAAGTACTTTCATTTTTTCTAAACGTACCCAAATATGATAACAAATGTCAAAAGAAATGTTGAAGGTATTGTAAATGAGTTATAGTTTGCATTCAGTGGAAGTTTAACTTGCTCAAGTTATGTTATAATTTGATACACGAGGTGTGATTTACATGGGCTAGTTTTAAAATTCAAAATATTTAAACGATGTACCGTAAAAAGGAAGATGTTTACTTTAACGTGCTATGAATTAAAAACACCAAGTAGTATTTTTGTGTTCTAATGTGTTGATAAGTGTTAAAAGTCGATAAAATTGGGATTTGATGTTGAGGGCTTCGTGGAAGATGTGGTGCTGTGGCACTCGCTCTTGAGTGGAAATATGCTGTAG